AATAAAATATAATTATAGAAAAAAAAAAGCAATCTTACTACTATTCTCGTCCAAAATCCAATGCAATAGCTCATAGACCACACAGTACTATACTGGGAACTCAAAAGGTTAGTAGTAGAATATAGTCAGAACAGCTTCCAAAATCTGCTTGCAGGCACCACAGCGATGACCCTCAAGGCTTCAGGCCAGTGTTGCAAAGTTCTCAGTCCTGCCAATTATTCCCGTGCACCAGTTGTCCAACAAACTTGGGCAAAATTTCTTAGCTCCATTTCCAATGGTGCAGCTATCCCAAGATCCCATCTCATATCAGGTCTCTGGTTGGCTGTCTCAGGTCAGATCTCTGGTTCTTCACTGTCACTGTTATAGCTGCTGTTCCTGTATGCCCTCCTAGTCTGTCCTATGTCCAGAAGGATGATCTGCATTCTCTTGTTGCTGCTGCTTCTTTGCTGGCAGTGAGGGTTCCTCCTTCTACTGCTAGATCCTCTCAATTTAATGGCAAGACTAGTCTATTCTTTTGTGAATTGGTGAGACTAGCCAATCCACTTATGGATAAACTAATATGCCCTATTCACATATTCCTGCCCATCCATGTGGTGAAGCCAACAACAGTGGCTAGGAACCCCACTTTGAACTCTAAGCCCTTATTAATGTCACACAAGATAACAAGTCACATTCACGTTACTAGAGCTCTTTGAAGACTGTATATATAGCCTTAAATAGTAATTACACATCAATATAAAGAAAACAAAAATCTCTACAACTGAACCAGTAGGCAGCATCATGATAAATGGAGTAAAAATTGAAGTTGCCAATGATTTCATTTTACTTGGATCCATAATGAATATGCATAGAAGCACCAGTCAAGAAAACAAACAACATATTCTATTGGACCTCTATTGCTGAGAACCTCTTTAAAGTATATTGTTGTTGTTGTTGTTGTTGTTGTTGTTGTTGTTGTTGTTGTTGTTAAGTGCCGTTGAGTCATAGGTGACTCATAGCAACCCTATGAACAAAAGTCCTTGACACTTGTATGTGTGACTTTCATCCTTTCTCCAGGTTCAGAGGGTTTCCGGAGACAAGCTGTTTGCAGAAGTGGATGGCACTCCAGCTTCCAAGCTTGTTTCAACTGGGGAGAGCCACTAAACACTGTCCACCGTGGGTAACTGTTATTCTGGTTACACATCAGTTTTACAGAGGTAAACTTTAAAGTATAGAAGAGCAAAAATGTTAAAGATTAAGATTCAGGTGTGCCTGACCCAAGTCATGGTGTTTTCAACAATTTCATATGCACATTACAGTTGAACAATGAGCAAGGAAGACAGGAGAAGAATCGATACCTTTAAATTTTGGTGTTGGTCAAGTATATCAAATATACCATGGACTGCCAAAAGAACAAACCAATCTGTCTTGATAGAAGTAAAGCTAGAGTATTCCAGAAGTCTAGCCAGTAGCAAGCATCTCACATACTTTAACCAAGTTATCAGGAAGGACCAGTTGCTAGAAAAAGACATTGTGCCTGGAAAGGAGACTGTCAGTGGAAAAAGATGAAGACCTGCAAACAGACGAACTGACAGAGCTACTGCAGCACTGGGCTTCAGCACAGCTGAGAAGTGAGGATAGCACACCATTAGACAGTTTTGTTCTGTTGTACAGGGGCCATGAGTTGGGACAAATTCAATACCACCGAAAACAACAATCACCAAACCCTAGGAGAAGACATGGGGTGGATTGTTGGGGAAGGAATGGGGAAAGAGTGGATAAATAAAGAACACTGCATTAGGACAAATGATGGCAAGAACTGTCTGAAAGGCACATATATGATAATGCATTATACGTGTGAGATAAACCTGAACAAGGGGTGTATTATGGGGTGGGCTGGTGGAGAAGGAGAGTAGGGGGAGGAAATGTGCAATTATGAATAAATAAAAGGGAAAAGAATTACAATTAAACAACAACAACAACTGGGAGAGAACCACAGAACAAATTCTCCCACAAAGCCTCAGAAGGAATCAACATGGACGACACCCTAATCTTGGACTACTTGCCTTCAGAACTGGGAGGAAATGGACTTATGTTGTTCAAAGCCATTCACTTCATTGTACTTCGTGAAGCAGCCTAGAAAATGAACACGGAGTGCAAAGTGTGTTTAAAGTATAACATATGGCCTTAATGTGAAACACTCAAACTCATTGCTGTGAAGACAAAACCAACTCACAGCTGGCACTGTTGGGTTTTTGAGGCTCTACATGTAAAGGTACACAGTCCAAATCCACCAGCTGTTACATATAAAAAAGATGGCCAGTCTCCTCCTGAGCCATTTACAGCCTCTGAAAACCCATAGGAGAGTCAGTTACAGACCATTCCAATTAGATGGTACACAGCAACAAATTACATGGGAAAAAGTTGCTTTTCTCCCAAGGAGTGGCTGGAGGATTCCAGCCACCAGAGAGACATAGCCTTTGTATTAGCAGCACAACTCTTCACAAATGTCAACAGCTCAACCATAAGCACTAGTTAAACCCATTCTATGTGTGCCTCAAAGTTCCTACATACTCACGGTCCCAACACGTGACACTATTTTTTTTTTTTTCGAAACACAGGGCCAGTGCTTTACAGGAACCATCTCATTCACCATAACCTGATGAGTCAGATCTTTTATTGGCCACTTTGTGTATAGAGTACAGAGAGATTAAGCAAATTTCATGTGGTCATAGATCCAGGAAAGTGGTAGAGGCAGGATTCAAACTCAGATCTTCCAACTTCACCTGCTGCACCAGACACCCTCTCAGAAGACAAGAGTAGATTCAAGAGAGATGCAGGGAGTTGGCAAGAGGTCACAGCATACAGAGGGAGAGCAGATTCAAGAGGATGACACTCCAGCCCAGAAAGTCAGAAATTGTTACCAATAAGTAAGAAAAAGAGCAGGGATGGTGCTACAGGAGGCTGGTGGGGGAGGCAGATTGAGAAAATTTTTTCTGCACTGATCTCTTCTGCTCAGAAATAATCTCCTCCCTTGCACACTAGACATTAAAAAAAAATCCATCATGTCAGAGAACCAGGCAGTGTCCTTCCTGCAATGGCCCACTGCCCTGCTGGGGCCCAGGCCCTCTGAAGAAACAGGAAGTGCCTTTGGCCTGCATCGGGCAAGTTCAGAGCCAATTCTCCTTCACACCGCCCTCCAAAAACAATCTGACATGGTTCAAATCACATCCCTTCTCTCGAGTTAATACAATAAACAGTAATGGAGAAGCAAGATCAGAGGAAATCATATTCTCGCCAGAGAAACGAAAATACAGTGGAAAACAGAGGAATGTTTCCCATCTATTTACAGCACAGAGGGCCTTTGTTCATGCTACCAAAGGCAATTCAAATGTTCTCAGGCCGAAATCAGTGTAAAGGATTGGCTTTCAAAAGGAAAACAAGATTGCTCCAGTGAAGGGGGAGAATTATTACGATTCTCCATATTTACAGCAGCCACATCACTTTTACCCAGACAGATAAATTTAATACACGAATAATGTCATCTCGAGACACAGGAGAAGGGTTTATGGTATTACGTATAAATATTTAAAATACAAAGATTGCCTTTCTCTCTGGAACTTCAATGACTTTGTAAAATTCATCCACTGGATTTTATTTCTCAAGATGAAGACAGAGCATCCAGTCAAAGTCAATCTGCCTCCCCAGGAGGAATTCTTCTCTTGTGAAGCATCTCATTCCCCAGGCTTATCTACAAGCAGAATCACCTGACATGACCTGCCTCTGCGACCTGAAAAATCCTTCCTACCCCCACACCCCACCCCATAGTACTGTAATAGACTCACTTCCACTTTCTGGTGCAAATCAACATTCTATTTGAGAAGAAAACTAACAAGCGATCCATGGTCATCCCAGGTTGCTATCTGCAAAGCACTGATATTGAGCTGCAGGAGGCAGATGGAAAAGGCAGACAGAGACTCCCATTAGTATCCATCCAACATACTTTCTGGTGTTTATCACACAGATAATAGATTAATACAATGAAACAGTAAAGCAAAATGAAAAAGAAAATCCAATGTGTTTCCAATTATTGTTGTTTTAATTTTATATTTATTTCTATACAAACACAATGTTTCTAATTGTTTTTCATTCTTTCTCCTAAGTGACCCTCAGAAAAAGAGCTAAATAATACTCTGATAACAAAAAAATGTTTGCCTTGAATATAGCACCTTTCTGGGCACAAGTATGTCAGAAGTTATGAGGATGGCCCAGGATAGAACAGGGCTCACTCACTATGAGCTGTACTTGACTTGATGGCCTTGACAACGTAGCACCCTTCAAGAGAATTGTCAATATGAGTCTGATTTCACAAAAGTATATCTAAATCACAAAACTTTAAAGGCCAGAAAGCCAAAACTAATGATGATTCAACAATATGAATAGAGATAGTGAGAATGGTAGCACACGGTGAAGTAGATAGCTGTTGTTATCTGAACAGTTCATGTAGAAATTGTGAACAGATGTATGTTAGTTGTGTACATTGCCACCAAAAAACCAGAAAGAAAGCCAAAGTCCTAGGACCCATAAACCTCAGGCTAACCTGTATTAAACCCCTCTTACTCCTCCCCGAAAAGGAGTTCTGGGAGCCCAGTTGGTGAGCGCTCGGCTGCTTACCAAGGGGTCAGAGGTTAGAACCACCAGCTATTTGGAGGAAGAAAGATGCAGCAGTGTGATTCCATATGGATTACAGGTTTGGGAACCCTGCTGTGGTACAGTTCTACGCTGTACCATGTTGTTATGTTGAGTCGTAGATGACTCATAGAGACCCTATGAACAAAAGACTTGAGAGTTTCCTGAGGCAAGCTATTTTGGAAGTAAATGCCACTCCTGCTTCCGAGCTTGTTTTAATCAGGAAGCTCCACCAAACACTGTCCACCATGGGTAACCATTATCACTTTTGGCACATCAGTGTCACAGTGTTTAACATCACAACAACCATGATTTACCTCTGTACGGCAAATTGACAGACCAGTGCTATATCACTTAGAAGAATGTTTGACCAAAAACAATTAAAACCAGGCCTGAGGGCCACAGATTAAAATCATCCATCTTTGGCTTAGTAGCATAACTTTCTATCCATGAGGCCCACAGAGCTCTAGCAATACTGTACGTCAAAGTTAACAGACACAGGAATGGTTTCGTCCCTCCCCCCCCTCCACCTTCTACTAGGATCTCTGGTGACCTAGTGATAAGAAGCTGCACTACAATCCCAAAGGCATGCACTTGGGAGCCACCAGCTGCTTCATGAGAGGATGGGCAATCTCCTCCTGAACAATTTACTGCCTCTGAAAATCCACTGGAAGGTCAGCTATGTACTAGCAATGACTCGATGGCTCATGACAACAACAGACAAATCTTCTCTTTATTAACCTCATGAACCCATTCTTGAATAAAAATAGTTAAACAGCTAAACACTGCAGACTTCAATATGGATTGCATCTCAACATCAAGGAAACAAAACATCTGCCACTGGACCAACAGGCAATATCATAGTAGATGGAGAAAAGTTTGAAACTGTCAACAATTTCATCTTACTTGGGTCCACAATCAATAAGCCTGGTACTAGTAATCAGACCAAGAGACATATTGCACTGGTCCCTGCAGACAGGGACCTCGCCAAATTATTGAGGGGCAGTGATGTCAGTTGGAGGACTAAGGTGCACTTGATTCAGGCCATGGTCTTGTCAATCACTTGCTAGAGAGCTGGACAATGAATAAGGATGACAGAAGAAGTGATGCTTTCTAATTGTGTTCTTACAGAAGAGTACTGAAGATTCCATGGACTGCCAGAAAAAACCTCAAACAGATATGTCTTGGAGAAAGTACAGTTAAGAGTGCTCCTTGGAGGTAAAGATGAAGTAGCTTCATTTCACATACTTTTGGCATGTTCTTAGAAGAGGCTATTCCTTGGAAAGGGATCTCATGTTCAGGAAGGGAGAAGGTCAGTTAAAGAAAGAAAGACCCTCAACTAGATGAACTGATAGCATGACTGCAGCAATGGGCTTAGTATGTCAGAGATCGTGAAGATGGCACAGGATAGGACAAGGTTCATAGGGTCACTATGGATTGTACTCAATTAGATGGCACTTAACAACAATAATAATATAATATAGAAAGTCTTATGTGATGATTCTCTGTGATCTGATAAACCAAATAGATGTAAAAAGATTAAGAGTAGAATGAAATGTCTCTAAATCCCACCACAGTCTAACACTATGTAAGGGGTTACCTTTTATCATACTCTAGATAGAAGGATAGGAAAGTGATCTGGAGAGAGAGAGAAACTTGCTAACATCAAGAGTGGATTGCCAGGCATGGAGTATGTCTTTTTGAACCCCACCTCCTGCTCAATGAAGCTCCTTCACACCAGAAAGGCCAAGGCACATGGAGATCTCCAGCAAATGCCAGGACTACTGATTCTGAAGAAAACAAGGCTTTTGTCCAGAATCAACACACAGAGAGAGCCTTCCCCAAAGCTGGCACCCTGCATTTGAATTTCTAGCATTCTAAATTGTAAGAATAATTTCTATTTGTTAAAGTTATCTACTTGTGGTATCTCCTTTTTAGCAACATTAGGTGGCTAAGACATTGCAATTACTCCTGGCTCTCCTTTTCCAGATATGGCTTCTAAGCTTGGTGGGATCTCTACACACATTTAGTATTGCCCTTTTGCTCAACTACTTTAAACCCCTCATTCACTCTGATGTTGGTTGCCTCCTCACATTCCCTGTGCTCCTCTTCATGTAGTACTTGTTATGGATCAAATTGTGTCATCCCAAAAGACACACTGACATACTAATCCCTCTGGCACTTCTGAATGTGACCTTGTTTGGAGACAGGGTCTTTGAAGATGTCATCAGCTAAGTGTATGTGAGCTCATACTGGAGCGAGGTAGGACCTAGTCCTTTACCACCAGTGTTCTTATATAAAAGGAGAGGCACACATGGGAAGACTGAGGAATGACACCATGTGCACTGCGTCTGTAAGCTGAGGAATCCCAGGAGCTACAAGAAGTTAGGAGACAAATATTGAACAGATCTTCCCTCCGAAGAAATAAACATGGCTGACATCTTCATCTAGAACTCTTAACCTCCAGAACATTTAGGTGGCAGTTCCCATAAACCACTCAGTTTGTGGCATTTTGTTATGGCAGCCCTAAGACACAAGCACAGTGTCAAGCTAGATGGCAAGCTGCTTGAAGATAGAGCCTGATCTCAATGATTCTGCCACTCTTCACAATGCCCAGATTGATGACTTGCAGTAATATAAAAGTCAGTGAATTCCTTGTTAACTAATTGCAAGACTGTTAGAAAAGTGTTTTCAGGTTCTCAAAATAAAGATGTTTTAGGAATATTTTCTTTTCTAAAATGAGTGCCTCCCGATTTCCTAGTCCACATACTCTTCTGCAATGTAACCTTGTCCCTCCCCTATCAAGACATGATGTTTATTTCTTCTCTCCACCCCCTAGAATCTGGATTTGCTCTGACCAACATAGTATGGCAGAATGCCATTATTCTAGTTCTAGGCATAACCCTGCCTGCTGAAACTGAGGAGGACCTGAAGCACTTGCTGCGAAAGGTCAGGGCCTGCAGCCTTCAGTATGGATTGAAGCTCAATATCAAGAAAACAAAGATTCTCACCACTGGGCCAATTTGACATTATCATGATGAATAGTGAAGAGATTGAGATTGTTCACAGTTTTAGTTTGCTTGACTCCACAATCAACACCAGCACCAGGAAATTAAAAGATGTATTGCGATGGGAAAGTCTGCTGTTAGAGACCTCTCTAAAGTGCTGAAGAGCAACAGTCTGGAGACTAAGGTGCACCTGATACAGGCCATGGTCTTTGCAACCATTTGTTATTTATCAGAGAGCTGTACAGTGACTAGGGAGGATAGAAGGAGAATTGATGCCTTTGAACTGTGGTGCTGGAGAAGAGTACTGAATATACCATGGAGTGCTAAGAGAGCAAACAGGTTTGTCCTGGAAAGCATGAAACCAGGCTGCTCCTTGGAGGCAAGGATTCTGAAGCTCTATCTGACGTACTTTGGAGATGTTTCAAGGAGGAACCAGTCCTTGGAGAGGGACATCATGCTTGGGAGGGTGGAGGGACAGCACAGGAGAGGAAGACCCTCAATGAGAAGGATGGATTCAGTGACTGGGGTAATGGGGGTAGGTGTGTCAGAGACAATGAGATTGGCACAGGATAGAACAGGTTTTAGGGCTGTTGTACATTGGGTCACTATGAGTCACAGGAGACTCGATGGCACATAACAACAACAACAAGAAGCATAATCCTTAATAAGTCAAACAGTTCCTGCCACTTACCATGCTTGGTCTTTCAATACTTCTTCCTACTCAGTTTCCAGTTGTGGCTTATTGTTCAAAATGGCTTCCCTAGCCCTTGAATTTGACTTTGTCACATAGGTGGGAAGGGGAGTGCAAATAGGGCATGTTAGTCTGTCCACAAGACAATTGGCTAGCCTTGTCATTAAATTGTGCTAATTCAGCAGCAGAAATTTAATAATCTCAACACCAACAAGCAAGAGGAAACAGCATGCATCTTTCTTGGCCAAAGATTCCTGTATCACTCAGATCAGAGCCCATGGGAGCAGTAGCAGTAGCCACAGCAGAGAACAGGTGATCCAATGTGAGACAAACCTGGCCTCATGGACCCAGAGACAGAGACAGATACAGAGGCTTTCATCCAAATTTGTTGGAAGACTGAGAAAAGATGTTATAACTGTCAAGACTAAAGAAACTTTGTAACACTGACCTAAGCCATGAGGCTAAAGGTCAAAGGGCCTACACCATGGTTGAGAAGCTGCCTGGACTGAGGGATTGTGTGCTGTCACCAGGTGAATAGCTGTTAACTTCCTTAATA